TTACTCACCCCCCCTTGTTAGCTAGCTGTCATTTATGAATCTAATTATTGCTATGTATTTTTAATTATTTTTTTCTTTTTTAAGTAGATATACCTGATATTTACTTAAGTAGATAGTCTCATATGTCATGTATGAATATTCTTATCTTTTTACATCTTTGTCAAACCTTATTGCCACAATTTTTTATTCTTGATAGTCTGATCATTGTAAAATGGTACTTCATTTTTAACATTTTAAATCAATTATTTCAATGACTTTTAGTGAGTCTAAACATCTTTTCTTAGGTGTTTTGGCCACTTGAGTTTTTGTTCAGTGAATTTTCTGTTCATGATTCTTGCCCAGTTTTCTCTTGGGTTGGTTGTCTCTTCCTTGTTGATGTGTAGGAGAGCTTGTGTCAGTTAAACATATTTTAAATAACTCCTCCCAGGTTATGCTGTTATGCTTGCTTTTTAGCTTTGTAATGGTGTAATTTGTCACACAGAAATTTAAACTTTTTATGTAGTCAAATCTATTCATATTTCCTTTATGATTTCTGTTTCAGTTCAGTTCAATTCAGTTGCTCAGTCATGTCTGACTCTTTGTGACTCCATGAACCACAGCACACCAGGCCTCCCTGTCCATCACCAACTCCCGGAGTCTACCCAAACCCATGTCCATCGAGTCAGTGATGCCATCCAACCATCTCATCTTCTATCGTCCCCTTCTCCTCCTGCCTTCAATCTTTCCCAGAATCAGGGTCTTTTCCAATGAGTCAGCTCTCCACATCAGGTGGCCAAAATATTGGAGTTTCAGCTTCAACATCAGTCCTTCCAGTGAACACCCAGGACTGATCTCCTTTAGGATGGACTGGTTGGATCTTGCAGTCCAAGGGACTCTCAAGAGTCTTCTACACCACCACAGTTCAAAAGCATCAATTCTTCAACGCTCAGCTTTCTTTATAGTCCAACTCTCACATCCATACATGACTACTGGAAAAACCATAGCCTTGACTAGATGGACTTTTGTTGGCAAAGTTATGTCTCTGCTTTTTAATATGCTGTCTAGGTTGGTCATAACTTTCCTTCCAAGTAGTAAGCATCTTTTAATTTCATGGATGCCATCACCATCTGCAGTGATTTTGGAGCCCCCCAAAATAAAGTCTGACACTTTTTCCACTGTTTCCCCATCTATTTCCCATGAAGTGATGGGACCAGATGCCATGATATTAGTTTTCTTAATGTTGAGATTTAAGCCAACTTTTTCACTCTCCTCTTTCACTTTCATCAAGAGGCTGTTTAGTTCCTCTTCACTTTCTGCCATGAGGGTGGTGTCATCTGCATATCTGAGGTTATTGATATTTCTCCTGGCAATCTTGATTCCAGCTTGTGGATAACCATTGTTATTTTAATCTAATTATTGTAAAGTTTCACTGTTTCCATTTAGACTTTTATCTGGAGTTAATTTATTAATGATAGTGTCAAGGCTCCATTGAATTTTATCTTTTCAATCTGGAAAAATCACATGTCCCTATACTGCTTTTTAAACACTTAATTTTCTCCTCACTGATTGGAAATCTCCCTTCTATCATCTATCAAGTGTGCACATATTCTTGGAACTAGCTCTCGACTCTATATTCCTTACTATTAATTTATCCCTGTAGCAATAATCATCCCCTCATCTTATTGTGCTTTTACAATAAATTTTCATTTCCTAGTAGAAAAAATTTTCTCCTCTTTGTTCTTTTTCAGAACTGTTTTTTCTCACATTTAGGATCAGTTTGTCTAACTCCATGAAGAAATTCTGTTGCTATTATGGTTGGAAATAAATTATATTTATAATCTGAGAGTAATTTCCATTTGCATAATCAGTGTTCCTAGCCAGGGGAAGAACATATCTTTCCATTAATCCAGGTTTAAAAAAAAAAAAAGGTTTTATTACTATTTAAAATCAAGATAACTAGTCAAGATAGGTATATTATACACCCATAACAAACACAAAAACTAGTTTTTAACAGAACAGAAGGTTGTTCCTTCCTCATGCAAAGTGTGTGTGTGTGTGCGTGTGTAGAGGGGGTCTGGGTAACTCTCCAGAGAAGCAGTCTTCTGTGTGGGAGTTTAGAGTTGCAGACTGTGGCCATCCTTCTGGCCACTCAGTATCAACATTTGCTCATGGTAGGGGAAGAGAGGCAAGATGAAGAAAGAAGCAGTGGTTCTTAAAAGTGGTTCTTAAAAGCTTCTGTCTGGAGTAATACATACCCCTTTTTATATATCATTTGCTGAAGCAAGTCACATGTCCACGGCTTACTTCAAGAGGCAGGGAATTATAATCTTACAAGCATAGAGTAGAGAAAACCCAGATGTATTGGTGATGGCCCTCCTGTCACCATGGTGTACGCTCGTGCTCCTGCTCTGCCACTGACAAGGGATGTGATCTTTGACAAGTCCCTATGCTTCCAATTGCAACATCTGGAAAGTGGTAGGATTTATTTCTTTATTCAGTTGGTGTGTGCATGTGTACTAAGTCGCTTCAGTCATGTCCGACTCTTTGTGACCCTGTTGACTGTAGCCCGCCAGTCTCCTGCATCTCCTGCCTTGGCACGTGGATTCTTTACCACTAGCACCACCCGGGAAGCCCTATTCAATTGGTCCTTATTATTTATCGGGAGCCAACCATGTGTTGGGCAACGTGTGACTCTGGTAATATAATGGTAAACACAGTGCAACCCTTGCCTTCAAGCAGTTTGCAATTTAATAGATATCTTACTGTTGACTTTCAGTTCTTTAAATAAAATCCCAAGATTTCATTTAAAAAATTCTCAATAAGAAACTCTCCAGAGAGTTATATTTCAGAGACTTAGATGTTTTCTCAGAAGTTTCTTCCTTCTTTGTATACATGAATTTAGTTGGCTGCAATGTAATTCTATCACAGCAACAGATACACAGCTGCCCATCATTTTCAAATCACTAGTATGAGTACAGAGAGGCACAGGTGGTGACAAGAAAGCAGACACTGGACCATTCTCATAGCTGCTTTGAATTTAATGAGAAGAATACTTCATAAAATAAAGATAGTTGAAAATCAATTTGATTGGGAAATACCTGGGCTGATAACCTTGCCACATAATGTACATTCCAGATATCAAAGCTTTTTCTAATACTTTTGAGTAAACCAAATTATAAAACTTCTGAAATTTCTAAAACATTTTGTTCTACAATTAATTTTTCCCTAGAGGAATATTTATTGGTATGAAATAGAAGACATATGAATAAGCATACTTGTGAGCATGTACAAAACTGGTTTGCCAAGTTTTTTTTTTTCCCCAATCTCTTAGGACTTGATGCTGCCTGCCAAGTTTTAATTTACTAATTCCCTCTACTTAAAATACAGCTCACAGAGAAACATTTCTAAGAATTTGAGGCATTGTCTTTAAACATGATGCAACAGTTTAAAATTTGCATGAAATAAGGGAAGAATTCCATTCTACTTTGCATTGATGCAATTATGGCATTTCCTTTATTCTTAATACTACATACCTAATTCTTAAACCAAAGTCAAAAATAGTGACGCAATAATAGAATTTAGTTTCAGTGTCTTACATACCATACTAACTAAACTTTTGATTAATTACAACCATTTCTCATCTTTTCACAACCCTTTAGCACTTAAGAGGTATTGAGTTTGTTTCAAATATAACAGCTTTTTATTAATTTGCTAGTTGTTTATACTTTGAATTTATTTAACAAGGACAAAGACCATGATCAGACACTCCTAGAATCTCTGGTTTCATCAGTAAGCATCCAATGCTTATTACTGGGCTTTCTTGAAAGCGAAATAAGGATAATTAGGCTCTCTGAATAGGAGAAGGGAAGATCAATAACCATTCTCTATTCTCATTAGCCATGTTCTCCCTGAGTGATCCAACCTACTGTCATGACATCAAGTGCTATCTTTGACACCCAAGTCCAATATCTCCAGTTCTGGCTTGCTTCCTAAGTTCCACACTGGTAATTCAAAGACCATCACCACCTGGTTATCTACACAAACAACTCATACTCAAAATATGTAAACCAGAATGATTTATCTTCTTCCTCCATATCAGCTTCCTTTGTGGTCAACTTTTTCAAGATGGTGCCATTATCCACTGGCCGTAGATACACCTGGAGTCATTTTTGGTTCTTCCATCTTCCTTATCAGGGACCAAGTCCTGTTGATTCTGCTTTGTTACTGCCTCTTGAATCCATCCTCTTCCTATAACTTCCAACTTCGGTTCAGGCTTTCATTTCCTACCTGACTACAGTGATCACTTCCTTCATAGTCTTCCTGTCTCCAGTCAGGCTTCTTCCAATTATTCTCCATACCCAGGCCTGTGACCCTTTTCACTCTGATCACAGCAGTAAAAATCCACTTCCAGTTTCACTCTATTGACTGGGTGGGCATGGTTCCACATTCTGGTCCTTTCCCAGTTTGAGGGCCTGCTCAGGAGGTCTCGGTCAACTGTGTCCTGAGAGTGATGCCCCTACTTCCACACTCCTAAAATGCTCTAACTCACATCATCCATGCCTGCCTCAGCAGAGCTCTTTCTCACCCTGACCATGCTCTCTTCCTTCCTGTTCATCTTATTTTCCTTTTCTAACTTTGTGGTGACTGCAAAGGGTAAGGTGATGAGAGGAAGTATGCAGGGAAGAAATGAAAAGCCCCAAAGTACCTAGAGTCCAATTGCTCTTTCCTCTTCAGTCCTAGAGTTGTCTATCTGTCAGTAAAATGTTTTCCATTTCTGCATGGCTCTGAGTGGGCTGTATTATGTCAGTCTGGGAGCCTCAAAATGCAGTGACTTTGTTTACTGATATCACTAAGTCCTGAATCCACTATAGCATGACATGTAAATCATTACTTAGTGTCTTCTGATAATAATAAAAGAAAGGAAAGGAAAGAAGAGGAAAAATTAAAGTATTAAGAAAAAGCAAATTCTTTCATCTTGAATCTTGGCTAAAAATAACATGTGCAAGCAAAGAAGCATTTACCTTCTGCTGTGGGAATGTGGACTCCATCATGGCCGTTTCAAAGCTGTGAGCACCCTCTGCCTGCGTCTTCTCCCATAGAGCACTGAGGAACTGTACAGAACGACTCTGAATGGACAGCGGCTCAGGAAACAGGCTCTGAAAGGGCATTCATGAGAGCAACATGACATGTTATCTCTTGTCCCAGCAATATTGTTTGATTGGCTGCAAAGCACTATTAGTTTTGGTCTGAACTTAAAAATGGTTTAAATAAAGCTACAGAGAAATCTATTTTGAAGATCAAATGTACAGTACATTTCATGCTTTCTATATTTTTAACAGAAAATTTAACTTACTAAATAGCGTTTTAAAGACAGTTGATATTGATTTCTATAAATATGCCTAACTTTTGTAAGGTAGTGTTTATATCAATCACTTCTCAAGGGTGTTACTTAATTGGAAAATGGCTAATATAAATATTTATATTTATTTTTCAAAGATCTGAGAATTAAGGTATAAAATTTGAGTACAAATATCAAGTTTATTTAGGGCTTCCCAGGTGGCACTAGTGGTAAAGAGCTCGCTTGCCAATGCATGACATGTGAGGGCCGTGGGTTCGATCCCTGGGTCAGGAAGATCCCCTGGAGGATGGCATGGCAATCCACTCCAGTATTCTTGCCTGGAGAATCCCGTGGACAGAGGAGCCTGGGGGCTACAGTCCACAGAATCGCGGATTTGGACCTGACTGAAGCGACTTAGCATGCAGCATGCACACATCAAGTTTATTTATACAGAGTAAATCATGAATAATAGACACTAAATAACCAACAGTCCATTATTCAATTATTCAGACATGAACAAAGTAAGGGAGGGTTGGGAAAATAAAAAACGTTTTCAGTCCTAAAGTGTATAATGGCTGAATATTCTTAGAGCTTTAAGATATTTTAAGTTTTGGACAATAATTGTTAACGTAAGAAAAAATTACATTTACATATATTTCATTCAATAATTTCATTCAAGTCAATGAAAATAAAAATTTCAAAGGAAAGTTTAAATTGTATGTTTAATCAATTATGTGTTTACCAGTCATTTACACGTGATGTTATACTTAAGAATGTGAGAAGTGTCTCAATTCAAGGAAATAATTTTATAAAAACATACAGAACATAAAGGCACATGATTACACACATGCGCACACATGCACACACACACAAAATATAATATATATATATATATTATCCTTTATGTGTGAGGTGTAATAAAATAATGATATTGGCTTATAAAGTCCCATTTTCAATGTCAATGACTGTCCAAATATTGACTTAGGAGACTTTCTAGATGGTCTCTGTGTATATAGTTTCTATTTAGTAGGTTTCTATTTCTATTTAGTAAGATTCTTCTTTTCCAGAAAAATCTCATTATTATCCTCCTCAACATGAACTGCTTTTGGAACTCAGTGGGAAAAGGTGGAGGATCTTATACCCTGAGTAAGTTGTCCACAGATCTAAAAAGGTTAAGGGCCAGTAACAGATTAATGTGAAACCCAAAACATGGATACATCTGGGAATTTCTTGATTATAATCGGAAACATATACAGCATATGACCATTCACTTAAAAAAGAGCAGGACCTGATTTAATTAATCATCATCCCAAAGAGGTCCATTTGGACTGGAATCTCTTAATTTAAGAACTCCGTCAGGAGTCTGTAAACTGACAGAGAAAGGAAAGAGTCTAGCCCAGCATACGAGGCTAGTATGGGTTTGTAACTATCAAGTCAAAGATATGATTTTTAGTTATCCCAAAGTCAGGTTTCATCCAGATCACACAGTATCAAAGGTGCAGAAAAAGAAAGGAAACATTACAGAAAAAGAACAAAGAAAAAAAGCATCATAAACAGATGTTCATTGGTGATTTTGCTCAAAGAGAAAAACAAAGGATCAGACTAAGTCAATAAAATAAGACAGAAGGGGCAAAAATAAAATCAAGCTTTCTTGGTCTGTTTTCAGAAAACTGACAACTGTGAAGAATAAAGCCAAAGATGAAACCAAGTACAAAATCACTGATGAAACCTGTTTGAAAAACGTTATTAAAGTAGGAGAAGGTCTTTATTTCAAGAAAAGGAAGAAAATCAATGCTGTTTTTTTATATTCACATACAATTTGTTTTGTGCTGGGTTTTGATTGCTGCACGCAGGCTTTCTCTAGTTGCGGGGAATTGGGGCTCCTCTTTGCTGCAGTGCACGGGCTTCTTGTCCCTGTGGTTTCTTTCCCTTTCTTTCTTCCCCTGTCTCTTGTTGGGGAGCACAGGCTCTAGGCTGTGTGGGCTTTGGTAGTTGCAGCAGGCGGGCTCAGTAGTTGTGGCCCATGGGCTTAGATGCTCTGAGGCATGTGGAATCTTGCCAGACCAGGGATCAAACCTGTGTCCCCTGCATTGGCAGGTGGATTCTTATCCACTGTACCACCAGGGAGGTCCCTATATTGATATACAATTTGATTCACATCAAAATATCAGTTGTTCTCTACAAGATATGATTAAGTGTTCTTGAGACTTCATATAGAAAAAGATGGTATCCCTGAGGCATGTCTAAATTGTCTCTTTTCTTTCTTAATTATTATAGCTCCACTTTCCAGCTATGATACATTCAGCATTAAAATTCATTTTTTTCCTAATACGCTTGCCCCATTTTATAAAGAAACATAACTATCTGATTAGTAACTTTCAGTGGGATTATTACAGAAATGTTTTATTAATTGAAGTAAATAAACTTATTATTCAGTTCAGTTCAGTTCAGTCACTCAGTCGTGTCCGACTCTTTGTGACCCCATGAACCACAGCACGCCAGGCCTCCCTGTCCATCACCAACTCCCAGAGTCCACCCAAACCCACGTCCATTGAGTCGATGATGCCATCCAACCATCTCATCCTCTGTCATCCCCTTCTCCTCCTGCCCTCAATCTTTCCCAGCATCGGGGTCTTTTCCAATGAGTCAGCTCTTCTCATCAGGTGGCCAAAGTATTGGAGCTTCAGCTTCAACATCAGTCCTTCCAATGAACACCCAGGACTGATCTCCTTTAGGATGGACTGGTTGGATCTCCTTGTAGTCCAAGGGACTCTCAAGAGTCTTCTCCAACACCACAGTTCAAAACATCAATTCTTCGGTGCTCAGTTTTCTTTATTGTCCAACTCTCACATCCATACATGACTACTGGAAAAATCATAGCCTTGACTAGACAGACCTTTGTTGGCAAAGTAATGTCTCTGCTTTTTAATATGCTATCTAGGTTGGTCATAACTTTCCTTCCAAGGAGTAAGCGTCTTTTAATTTCATGGCTGCAATCACCATCTGCAGTGATTTTGGAGCCCAGAAAAACAAAGTCAGCCACTGTTTCCACTGTTTCCCCATCTATTTGCCATGAAGTGATGGGACTGGATGCCATGATCTTATTTTTCTGAATGTTGAGCTTTAAGCCAACTTTTTCAGTCTCCTCTTTCATTTTCATCAAGAGGCTTTTTAGTTCCTCTTCACTTTTCTAAAGCCATAAGGGTGGTGTCATCTGCATATCTGAGGTTATTGATATTTCTCCTGGCAATCTTGATTCCAGCTTGTACCTGACCTAATTTTTAACCATTCTGTAACATTTGCATTCTCCTTTTTCTGCCTTTACCCTCTCTCTGTTCCTGCCTGCAACACCCATTTTGTTTTAAACACAAGTGAAGACCACTGGGTCAGGGGTCAGGCAGTCTGTGTTCTGTCCTTCAATTTGCTTATTTGGAAAAATGATGTCTAAGATCCCTCCTGTTACTAACATTTTGTAATCTATATTCAAATTTTATTGAAAGTTTAATGCATTCAAAATAAGCATTTCCAAACAAGAATCTTTTTTTGATGCTAAAAATCTTTGCATCAAATTCTTTCTTGTTTAAACTCCTCTTTATGTAACTTTACCTCTATACATAAATTCTATACAGAAAAGTGGCATTCTAGTGTTTTAACAACGTCAAAAAAGATATGCTGACTCCAAAGTTATTTGGAGATTGCGAAATAGTGGCTAGTTCTCCATAAGGAAAGCTGTCCACCCCCAATAAATGATTTTTTTGTTGTTATCATTGAACAAAAAATATTTTCCCATTTATTCTTTTTTTTTTAAGAGCAAAAGGATATTCAAGATAATAATAGGATTGTCTTCCTGATTACTAATCTAGGGCCTCTTATAAAGAAACTATCCTAAAATATAGAAAAAAATCCATGTTAAAAATTACTAATGAAATGTGTATGCATTGTTGTTATTTGCATATTACTCTGGTCAAAGAGTAATTCAGTAAAAATGATTATAAACTCATACCTGGCTCATTAAGGAGCCATGCGGAACTTATACATACCTGCTGAAATAGGAACATGATTTGGATCCATGGCTGAGGTTCTTGACTGATGAGAATAAAACTGGATTTACTGTAGAGGCAGTAATGACCCTTCAGGGAACAAGTGAAGAACAGCTTCGCTACACAACTTCTAACAGAATCTGGAAACAAATACACACAGCATTAAGCACTAGATTCTTCCCAGAGTTACACCTTACACTTCAACATACACACACCTTTAGAACTACATTTTTTAGTTTTTAGTCTGTAAGTTAATAACTTCAACAACTGTCGATTTGGGGGTAGATCCATCTTATGGAATGTAGATTAATATGAAGTTGCTTTAAGCAAGTGTATTCAATCCCTCTTTCTCTTTTATTAACAGTGCATGAGAAGTCTCCAAGCAAGTCGCAAGGGAGGGAAAAAAACACTCTTACCAATGAAAAGGAGACAGGTGTCATTTCCATCTGAGCGGGCACTTTGAAATGATAACCTGGGAAGCATAAGCAAATGAATGAAGGAAATCCAGGCATTTTTCTAGGCAGAGATGGTGTACCATGGCCAGGGCACTGCTCTCTTGGTTACACGGAGGCCACAGGGACAACCCCCAGAATAACTCTGGCCAGGAGTGTGGCTTCCTGTGAATGAGCCTGGTTTGACAAGATCATTTCGTCTTGAAGAGATTCAGCAGGAAAACTTAAAGCAATCAGCCTTTAGGGGCAAGAAAGTGGGGGAACATGGTGGTGGTAGCATAGAGCAGAAGTGGTGAAGAACTGTGCTGAGGAGTCATTTGATATTTACAACCCTACAAGATGGGTGTTAACTATTTTTTTTTTCCAGTTGCCACACATGGGATCTAGATGCCAGGGATCAAACCCAGGGATTTGGGAGCACAGAGTTTTAGCCACTGGATCGCCAGAGAACTCCCCAGGTGTTAACTATTTCTATTGTAAATGTGAGGAAACCTAGCTCATTAAAGGGTCAGCTTATTGAACCATTGTGATTGCCTTGTTCACCCCTCTAGGCCTGGCATGTGCTAAGATGCTCTAAAGAGAGTATCTGCAGAGATGAATGAGGCTCAAGGATCCAGAAAAAAGCACTCAATTCTGCCCAGTCTGTGGCAGAACCAGGATTTGAACTCAGCCAAACTTTTGCCACATTGAGATGCTTTAGGCCCTACCATACTAGGAATTTTTAAATCTGCAGAGTAATACAGATAGCTCATGGGGTAACTATTATTTCAGAATTAATCTGACATTTTAAATGAGATACTTTGAAAATAGATTCAATATGCCCTGCTAGCAAAAACAGAAATAGACTAGAGTTTATTAAAAGTTGATGGGGACCCTAATTAGATGGTAGAGTCAGTCCCACCCATGAGAGTCTATGGGGTTCCCTAGAGAATTGTGGGGAGGCGAGCAGCTTGACTGCGTACAATCAGGGCTCAGGCCTGAAGGAATAACAGGCTTTTGGGAAAGAGTTTGGAAGATTTAAGGGAGGGTGGCCAATGACAGATCAAAGAAGATGACAATGAAAACCAAACAATAAAACCACAGGGCAATTTAGAAATATATTTAGAAATCTTGGTAAATAACAGCTTTCTGTGTGATTCTGACCACTGGTATGAAAGAGGACTAGCTTTCATGAAGTTTGTTGTTTGGGGGAATTTGATCATTCAAAATCCTTGTATGAAATCAGAAATCATTTCTGCATTCTCTGGGTGAATGGCTTTCAAGTTCAGTAGAAAAGACCAGGAGTCCTATCACTGACAATAAAAGACTTGATAGAATAGAATAGAGCACAATATACACTTATCATTTGCCCTATTGGAAATTGTTTGACAATGGCAATAAAAAATACTTTTTTGGCACTGATGCTTTGAAAAATTGAATTTAAATTAATCAATCCTAGAGAAGGCAGAAACCAAGTATTGCATAAGAGCACACACACACAAATGTTTCTACTAGAAATCAATCTAGCCATAATGGATACATTGAGACAGCACTCTGTCTGTTAATAACTTCAACAACTGTCGATTTGGGAGCAGATCCATCTTATGGAATGTAGATTAAAATGAAGCTGCTAAAAAAAAAGAAATAAATAAAATGAAGTTGCTTTAAGCAAGTGTATTAAATCCCTCTTTCTCTTTTGATTAACAATGCATGAGAAGTCTCCAAGCAAGTCGCAAGGGAGGAAAAAAAACACCTGCTTTAATCGAAAGATTCAAAAGGGCAAGTTCATTTGTACGAACCTGTGGAGTAGCTTGATGTAAGCTGGACTTCAGGCCTATGCCATGAAAAAAATGTTTTTACTTTTTTCCTTCCCCTAAATCACTCCTCATTCATGTTTTCTTTTGAAAATGAACATTGATTCAATTTCTTTTACTTGTCCTGACCTACCAGCTTGCTATACACAAATGACAGGAGTCCCAGGTCACAGAAAATGGACAAAGTGGTAGAAGAGAGAGACCGTCACCTACAAGTATACACACCGACTATAAAAACACATCAGTTCTGTGATGTAAATATTAGTTGCTCAGTCGTGTCCGACTCTTTGCAACCCCATGGACTGCAGCCCACCAGGCTCCTCTGTCCATGGGATTCTCCAGGCAAGAATACTGGAGTGGGTTGCCATGCCCAGCTCCAGGGGATCTTCCCAACCCAGGGGTCAAACCCATGTCTCCTGAATCTCCTGCATTGCAGGGGGATTCTTTACTGCTGAGCTACCAGGGAAGCCCTAACAAACCAATATTGACACATTATTATAAACTTAAGGCTATAGTTTATTCAGATTTCCTTAGTTTATACCTAGTGTCTTTTTTTCCATTCCAGGATCCCATACAACATTATTCATTATGTCTCCTTTGGCTCCTCTGGGCTGTGACAAGTTGTCAGACTTTCCATGTGTTTGATGACCTTGAGAGTTTTTTTGACCTTGAGAGTCTTGCAGAGTACTTTTGTTAGGTATTTTGTAAAATGTTTCTTAGTTGGGATTGGCTGTTTTTCTCATGAGTAGACTGAGATTTCCGATTGAGGGGAGGAAAACCAGAGAGGTCAAGTGCCATTTTGCTATCATATGGAGAGCACATTTATCTACATGACTTATGACTAGTGATGCTGACCTTGAACATCTGGTTGCGGTAGTGTTTGCCAGGTTTCTCCACTATAAAGTTACTCTTCCCCCTCCACTTTCCACATTGTCCTCTCTGAAAAGAAGTCACAATGTGTAACCCATACTTAAAGAGTGGGGGGTAGCTTCATCTCCTGAGGGCAGAATAGATACATAAATCATGTGGAATTCTGCACAAATTTGTCTCTTCCTCTTCTAGTTATTACATTCAAATTATTTAGTCAATTTTTCTATCAGAACGTACTCATGGATATTTATTTTATAATTCGACATTATTTTACTTATTCCATTGCTCTGATTATTCCAGATTTGGCCACAGGGAGCTCTTTCAGTTGGCTCCTGTGTCCACTGCATGCTAACTGACTTCAGTCATGTCTGACCCTTTGCAAGCCCATGAACTATATAGCCCACTATTCTCCTCTGTCCATGAAATTTCCCAGGCAAGGCTACTGGGATGGGTTGCCACTTCCTCCTCCAGGGGACCTTCCTAATCCAGGAATCGAACCCATGTCTTACATTGCTTGAATAGGCAGGCGGGTTCTTTATCACTAGTGCCACCTGGGAAGCCCTGTGTCAATTAGATACGCTGCCATCATTATGTGTGTGGCTTTTTGTTTGCTTTTTAAAATCACTTCCTTACTTTCATCTTACATACAAGATGCTCCAGGCTCATTTTGCATGTTTCCTGCCCTGTCTTAGAATTAGCTGTTTCTCTAAGGAGTTTTGGTTTCTTTCACTGAAGAATTCTGTTAGAAACTAAGATCTAGGTATTGTGTATGTTTGTTGCTACTGGGGTATCTTTGTTCTTTGCTCCCTTCAGGTGACAGAGCAGGGAAATTATGTGTGTATATAAGCATATATCTATTATAAGTATTTCTATATGCAACCATCTATATTTATATTAAGGTAAACATGAGTTCGGGCTTTTCAGTTAGCACTAGTGCTAAAGAGCCCATCTGCCAATGCAGGAGACATAAGAGATGCAGGTTCGATCCCTGGGTTGGGAAGATCCACTGGAGGAAGGCATGGCAACCCACTCCAGTATTCTTGCCTGGAGAATCCCATGACAGAGGAGCCTGGAGGGCTCCAGTCCATAGGGTCACAAACAGTCAGATATGACTGAAGTGACTTAGCATGCATGCCTGAAAATATGAGTTCATATTGTGGTTTCAATTCATATTCATCACCACATGTATCATTCTAGACTCCATCCCTTGCTTATGTTAACTCTCACTTCAACAGCAAGAAGCCTGAGTCCCACTGTTGGTATTTTTATCTGTCAATTGTAGGAAGCACAGTTCTTTTCCTCTCCCTTTCCCTATCTTTCCTGCTCTCCTTCCCTTTCTCCCTCCTTTCTCTCTTACAAATAGTTTAGTATCCACCAATGTACCTGGCATAGAGAAGCCTACCTCAAAACATAATAATAGTCTTTTATTATATTCTCTCTGCTTCTTTCTGGAGCAACAATAAACCAGTAGGATATTCCCATGAAAATAACAAAAAATAAAAATAGTAATAATACAATATTAATTTTCATGATAAAATTTTATCTTAATTTTAACTAAGCATTCCACATCATCATATCTGGCATGAAAGATATAGCTATTTGCTAATCTGAACATTTTTTGTTAGTTTCAGTTCAGTCACTCAGTTGTATCCAACTTTTCACAACCCCATGGACTGCAGCACACCAGGCTTCCCTGTCCACCACCAACTCCTGGAGCTTACTCAAACTCATGTCCATAGCATCAGTGATGCCACCTGCCATCTCATCCTCTGTTGTCCCCTTCTCCTCCCACCTTCAATCTTTCCCAGCATCACGGTCTTTTCCAATGAGTCGATTCTTTGCATCAGGTGGCCAAAGTATTGGAGTTTCAGCTTCAACATCAGTCTTTCCAATGAATATTCAGGACTGACTTCCTTTAGGATTGACTGGTTGGATCTCCTAGCAGTCCAAGGGACTCTCAAGAGTCCTCTCCAACACCACAGTTCAAAGGCATCAATTCTTCAGTGCTCAGCTTTCTTTATAGTC